CAAACAGAACAAGGAGATACATTTCAATGGCTTTTAAAATCCAAAAAAGTGTATGCCAGGGCTGTATCCTTTTACCATACTTATTCAAGCTGTATGCTGAGCAAATATATCTGAGAAGCTGGACTATATGAAGAAGAATGTGTTATCAGGACTGGAAGAAGGCTCATTAACGACATGCAATATATAGATGATACAACCTTGCTAGCTGAAAGCAATAAAAATTTGAAATATTTACTAATGAAGATCAAAGACTACAGTCATCAGTATGGATAGCACCTCAAGATAAAACAAAAATCCTCACAACTGGACCAATACATAACATCATGATAAATGGAGAGAATATTGAGGTTTTCCAAGATTTCATTTCGCTTGGATCCACTATCAACACTCATGGTAGCAGCAAGTCAAGAAATCAAACGCTGTATTGCATTAGACAAATCTGTTGCATAAGACCTCTTTAAAGTGTCCAAAAGCAAAGATGTCAGCTTTTGTACCAGAACAAAGGTGCACCAGACCCAATGTACAGTATTTTCAATCACCTCATATGCATTTGAAAATTGGACAATGAATAGAGAATATAGAAGAACATAGAAGAAAAATTGCATTTGAATTATGATATTGGTGAAGAATAATGGAAATAACATGAACTGCCCGAAGAGCATACACATCTGTCTTAGAAGTACAGCCAGAATGTTCCTTAGAAGCTTGGATGGCGAGACTTCATCTCTCACACTTTGGACATATTATCAGGAGGGACCAGTCTCTGGAGAAGGACATCATGCTTGGAAAAGCGAGGTTCAGTGAAAAAGAGGAAGACCCCAACAAGATGGACTGACACAGTGGCAGCAACAAGAGGCTCAAACATTAACAATTGTGAGGATGGTACAGAAACGTGCAGCTTTTTTTTCTGTTGTGCATAGGGTCTCTATGAGTCAGCACCAATTGGATAGCACTTAACACCTAGAACTCTTGATAATTATATCATTCCTTGGATACCAAACCTTAGATTGTTGTTGTTGTTAAGTCTTTAGCGTATGTTCTGACTCAGAACAACCCGCGAATGGGGTTTCTGAGGGGCAGCTGGTGGGTTTGAACCACCTACTTGTGGTTAGCAGTCCATTTATCCCACAGTGCCACACCAGGCCTTACAGATTATCATCCTATGTCACAGCAAAGACAGTCTTGCAATAGTTGTATACAGGAAATTTTTATCTCCCACATTAGAAAGAGTTCCTTAAAGTTTCATCTTAGAGATGTGAGTGAGCTACATTTAAAAATGTGACAAAAGACCCAAAGACATCATCATGCCTATCTTCACATTTTAACAGGATTAACAGTACAGCAAATCCTAAAATCTCAAAAGAGTTCATAATCAATCAGTTTCAAATAGACACTGGAATCAGAAATACGGAATCTGAAAACTGACTCAGCTACATTTTCTTGGGTGTGTTTCATCTACAAAATGGGAAAACAATTTGCATCACTGAGTAAGTGGCTCCAGTAATACAACGTTATAATTTTATTATTTTAAATAAAGTCAAAGAAACTCATCAACAGATACAAACCTTCTTAAATTTCTACTAAGTGTAAGGAATTTTTATTGTTAAGTGCCATGGAGTCAGTTCCAACTCACAGTGACCCTGTATAGGGTTACCAAGGTGCAGCTGGTGGGTTTGAACGGCCAACCTTGTGGTTCACAGTTCAGTGCTGATCGTGTAGCGCCACACTAAGAGTCAATGAGGAACCTTAGATATTTAAGACATACAAAAACATGAGGAAAATTTAAAACCTAGATACTATTCCAAATCGTTTATTTATTGGCACAAAGTATGATCACACTTAAAATTAGATCTATTCCAACTCATTATATGCATGTTGTTTCTTCAAATAACTTTACATTTCCAAGGAGATCTATAGATTTCATTTTAACACAAGACAGACATGACGTAAGCAATTCCAAATGTGATGTATGTGAGGGAAGGCACAGGAACGCTAAGCTCCAAAGTCTGAGAGTGGGAGGAGGAGTAGTGAGGAATTCTCTGAAGAAATCAAGTTTAAGCTGAAATCTGTATGATGGGTAAGAAGGAAGTTCTGAAATAATATGTGTATGTACTAGAAGCAATAGCAAATAATACGAAGAATTCGAAATGTCACCCCCCAGCTAGAGAATACATTTTTAAGAGAGCGTTTTTCTAGTCTTCTTTTTTCATCACTATAGTGATAAAAATATTTACTATAGAAATACATCTGTATTCTTGAGCCTTCAAAAGTAAAGTTTTTTTTTTTCTAGCCAAAGTTTTATTATTCTTAATTTACTAAGATTATTGCTGTTGTTAAGTGCCATCGAGTCGGTTCTGACTCATGACGACCCTGTATAGGGTTTCAGGAGTGGCTGGTGGGTTTGAACCACCCACCTTGTGGTTAGCAGTGCAGTGCTTATCCTACAGTGCCACAGCAGGGCTCTTTATTAAGATGAGGCTTATAATAAGAAGTTATTATAACAAGTTTTGTGCTACCAGTCTGAAATCTAGCACGATAAAACTATCTATTTAATGTATAAGAAAATTTAAGAAGACAAATCTTGAATGTTCACTAACATATTCAAAATGGGTAAGTTAATACAAAATATCAATAATTAATATTTGATGAGTACTTCATTATTCTTAAATTTTCCTGGTATGGCGCTGTGGCTTAATGAGCTGAACTACAAAGTTGTTTTGAACTGCAAAGTCAGTGGTTCAAGGTTACTAGTTGCTCCTTGAAACGCTATACAGGGTTGCTATGGGTCAGAACTGACTCCACAGCACTTAACAACAACAACTACTACATTCCATGAATTAGTTCAGTTAATTATTTCTACCAATCCTATGAAGCATGTACATTTGTTATTTCTACTTTATAAATGAAGAAACTGAAGATTAGAAAAGTTAGGAAACTTGCTTAGGGCACAGAGACTCAAAGCCAAAATTGACCCAGAGATCAATTTTTTTGGCCATTTTCTCTCTCAAAAGTAATGCTCTTATTAAATATGTCCTTGTATGTGGTTCTGAGATTAGAACATAAAAATTAAAATTAGTCCTCAGAACCACTACAACTCATTATGAGTACATCTGTTTGTTAATACTTTTTAGTTATCTTGGGTTTTTAGTTACAAAGATACAGATAGTCTAAATACGTCTTCTCAGAGACATAATAGTAGCATTCATTAAAAAGAAAAAGTACTTATACATGTATTTATGTATTTTTTAATACAACAAAATTATAAAGCCTGTCAATATATAAATGGTGCCACTGTATAATTTAAACATAAGAAATTCATCACAGATAAAATGTGCTTCATGTCTACACCCTTGATGTGTACACCCTAGTGAGAAAAAAAGACTTAAATAAGTAGGATGAGTTGGCAACTGATATGCTGACAATTTAAGGCTCTCCCTAAGCAGCAGAGAACTCTAGCATCATTCACGTTACATATACATATTGAACACTCACAGGCACTGTGTCTGTGCTAAGTGCTGATTAATCTCATTGCTCTGACCTCTGCCTATTTAAGAATATAAATAAAATCTGATTCAATGAAAGAAACAGTGACAACATCTTGAAAAGCTATGTGCTATGTATGCATTCTTTTTTGGGCAAGGTAAACATGCAGGAATGAAGGAGAACAAGATGAATACCTTGTTTCTCACAGGGCACTCTGAGGATGAAAAGCGATGAAGCATACAATGTACAGGGACAAGGCCTGGTACATGGAGTGATAGGGAACTGCTCGGCTGCAGTCATGGATCTTAGCATTGTTCATATGACCACTGAACAACTCTGTATTCTGTTACCAATTCACAGTCTCTTAAGAGATTACTGTATAGTAATGAAATGTAGTGTACAAAAAGAACACTGAAGGAAAAATCAGAGTAAGCTATTCCAAATGATAGGTGAATAAAAATGAGCAAATTCTTTGAATATGTTTTGTGAAACCTTACTTGTAAAATAAGTGGTAACAGCTACCTTACACATTGTGATAAACATTATACTAAAGAGATCATGAATGGGAAGGTACTGTTTAAACCATAAAAAAACAAAACAAAAAAAAAAAAACTATACATATGCAAGCTATTACTATTACTTGATGAATAAATACAGATATAAAAAATAAATCCAAATCCATTGCAGTGGAGTTGATTCTGACTTGGTAACCCCATATGTTACAGAGTAGAACTGTGCACTATAGGATTTTTGTGGCTGGTATGTCTCTGTTCATAAACACTGGACTGCTCACCTAAAGTGTCAGTGGTTTAAAGCACCAGCTGCTCCTTATAAAACCTACATAGGGTCACTATGAGTTGGTAATTTAGAGTCATGGTGTGGCTAAGACTGGAACACAAGGTCAGTTTGAACTGCAATGTTGTTGGATCAAACCCACCAGCCACTCCTTGGAAAATCTAAAGAGGGTTGCTATGAATTGGAACTGACTCAGCCACAACAACCATCTTTACAGAAGCAGATCACCAGGCCTTTCTTCCAAAGAACTATTGGGTGGATTTAGCAAGCAACCTTTAGGTTAGCAATTAATCATAAATTCCTTGAGGCACCCAGAAACCTAATACAAGTATTGTTGTCGTTGGTAAGTACCACAGAGTCAGTTCCGACTCACAGTCACCCTGCACAGGGTTTCCGAAGCTATACATCTTTACAGGAACAGAAAGGCTCATCTTTCTCCCACGGAACAGCTGGTAGTTTCAAACTGCCAACTTCGAGGTTAGCAGCTCGATTTGTAACCATTACGCTACTAGAGCTCAGGTGTTTAAAAGCCTAAAACTGAGTTCTCCTTTATACACACTCATACATACCCTGAGTCCTGGACTACATATAGTCCTTAAGTACAGCTACCTGACTTATGAAAAAAAAACTATTTTCAATAGCTACTCTACGGCACGTAACAACAACAACAACAACAATAATACTTACATAAAATTTAATAAGCTTTACAAGTGCATACTTACCTTTACTATGGTCTTAGGGCGTTTTTTAAAAAATAATTTTGGCTTCTCAACTACAGGAAGAGGTGGAAGTTTTTTAAGCTCCTGTAAGACAGTGGTTGCTGCACGTTTCTTGGAGAGTTTTTTGCTATTTCCCTCTCCTTCTGCAGAGAATTCACCCACTGACACCCGAGTAACAAAGCTTTTCATATGAGGTGGTCCACTTTCTTTAATAACCTATGAAATAAAAAAGAAACATTAAATAGCATACAGACACCTAAGATGTGGTCTTTTAGCATAAATCTTTCATTATAGCCATGAAAATCAAATGTGAAAATATTAATTGTTCTTGTTAGGTGCCATAGAGTTGATTTTGACTCACAGTGACCCTATGTACAACAGAATGAAACACTGCCTGGTCCTGAGTCACCCTCACAATCGTTACGATGATTGAGCTCACTGCTGCTGCCACTGTGTCAATACATCTCGTTGGGATGCTTACTCTTTTTGGCTGACCCTCCACTTTACTAAGCATGATGTCCTTCTCTAGGAACTGGTCCCTCCAATGTTCAAAGCATAAGAAACGAAGTCTCGCCATCCTGGCTTCTAAGGAACACTAGCTGTACTTCTTCCAACAGATCTGTTTGTTCTTCTAGCAGTCCAAAGAACTTTTAATATTCTTCTCCAACATAACTCAAATGCATCAATTCTTTTACACTCTTCCTAATTCACTGTCCAATTTTCACACACATATGAGACTATTAAAAATAGCATGGTTGGGGTCAGGTACACTTTAGGCCTCAAACTGACATTTTTGCTCTTGAACACTTTATAGAGATTTTGTGCAGCAGCTTTTCCTAATGCAATATGTCATTTGATGTTGTTAGTGGATCCAAGCAAAATGAAATCTTTGGCAACTTCAATCTTTTCTCCATTTTTCATGATGTTATCTATTGGTCAAGCGGCGAGGATGTTCCTTTCTTTACAATGAGGTGTAACCCAAACTGAAGGTTATGGTCTTTGATCTACTTTCAGTTGTTGTTGTTAAGTGCCGTCGAGTGGGTTCCGACCCACAGTGACCCTTTACAAGGTTTCCGAGGGTGTAAATCTTTACGGGAGTAGAAAGCCTCATCTTTCTCCCACAGAGTGGCTGGTAGTTTCAAACCGCTGACCTTAAGGTTCGCAGTCCGATTCGTAACCACTATATGATCTGAATATAACAGGTTGTTTATGAATCTTTCTTCAATCCTGATACCATGTTCTTCTTCATATAACCCTTCCTATAATTCTTCTGGGATTATTTGCTTAGCATTGTTGTTAAGTACCCTCAAGTCAGTTCTAACTCACAGACCCTATATACGGTCTCTAAGAGGTGACTGGAGGATATGAACCACCAAGCCTGTGGTTAGCAATTCACTGCTTAACCTACAGAGCCAAACCGAGACTTCATTCACTCAGCATAATAAATCCAAAATTATAGTATTTCTTTAAGCAAGCTATAATAAAGGTATTCTACAAGCAATTGTTGTTGAGTGCCATCAATTCGGTTTCAACTCATAGTGCGCTTGTAAAGGGTTTCTGAAGAGCAACTGGTGTGTCTGAACTTCCAGCTTTGCTGTCCAATTCTAATCATAGATCAACACACCAAGGCTCTACTACTATATTGTTGTTAGGGGCCATCGAGTCGGCAATGACTCATAGCGACCCTATGTATAAAAATGCCCAGTCCTGATGCAGACCGTGCAGACCCGGTCAGGCGTTCAAGTCCCCGTGGGCCCAAGCGTTGCTGACCGTCCAAACCATAGGCTCTAAGGATCAGACTTTAGCCACCTAGCAGACATAGCAAAATGTCCCTTTTCTGATTATTCAGTTATGCTGGTTAGTAATTCCATACATGAGCCCTGGATACCCACAGATA